GATTCTCTCTATCACCGATGTTTCTATCTCTCTCTCCTTCTCTGAAATCCATAAAATATATTTTAAAAATAATAAACAAACTAACAAAATGAGGTTCAATGATTCCTTAGGCCCAAGAGTTGCAGGGAGGCCCAGTGAGAGTGAGTTGCTACAGTGGCTTTGGGAAAGGCCCCGCCATGCAGATGGGAGCTGCTACCACCTGCACTGTAGGCCGTGGAGGAGGTGGGTCTTCCTGGAGCTAGAGAGCCATGCATGTGACAGAGCAACCCATCAGGAGGGCCTGCGGCTGCAGTTCCCCTGCAAGCACACCAGGGCCATAAAATTCCCACCCTCCGCGGAACACTTGCCGGTTATTGATTTTACTGGTGTCTGTCAGCTTCAGTGAGGACGGAGGTGTCAGGAAAGCTTCAGGAACTGCCATATCAAGACTAATGAGCTTCCATGTGTTTATTTAACAGAATGCAGGTTGGGTGACACCAGGCCCTGGGGACACAGGGAGGGGTCTAAGATGGACTTTGCTTTCCTTCACCAAGTACAAGAGGAAAACCAACGCTGAAGGGGCTGGAGAAGGCGGAGACGGGCCAGGAGCAGGCTGAGGAGTTAGAATCATCCAGCAAACGGGGAGAAGGAAAAAGACTGTGCAACTTTATGGCTCAGTTCATCGGGCAAAACACACCCTTTTACTGGTTTCCAGAGGATTTCATCATGGGAGAAGTATTTCGGTCAGGGGCCTTGGAGCAACAGAACGAGGGTTTTTTTATAGCAGTTTTTGTTGTGTGTTTTTTTCAACTTTTCATGGGGAGGTGATGGGGACATTTCCCAAAGTAGAAAACGTGAACACCAACACCCCTATCTCCACCGCCTAGCGGATACAATTACTGTTCTACTGTATTAATTGCATTTTTCTAAAGAGGAAGTTTCTGGTAGGGCTGTTCCAAGTGCCCCCTCTTCCTGAGGATATCGCACCAGGGTCCCCAAAGACGGAGGGACGGATGCGGGCCGGGCGGGGGTGGCGGGGAAGAGAGGAATGCGATTTCCGGGAACCCGCCTGGACGGGGGTGGAGACGCTGAAAAGGGAAAACAAACAAACAAAAAGCGCCCGAGGAATGCGTCCCGCCGGCTCCGGGCCCGCAGTCCGACCCGGTGGTCTGGGCCGGTTCCCAGGACGGGAGTCCCGAGGCTGCCTCTGGCCGGAGGGCCACGGGGTCATCCTCCGCCCGCTC